TCATTCATTTTAGCCCTAAACTTGCTTCTCAACTCGAAATCATATCCTACATAATATAACGCACGTAATAAGTATAAAGTACTAATAATTGGCCTCAAATATAATCAAAGTATAGTAATTAGAGTACGAAATATAGTTTAAAACGTGAGTTTCTAGCCTACCATCAACACCCCACACTTAAATCATTGCTTGTCCTCAAGCAATCAAATTATACTTCATATAGAGCCGGCCTTTTCATCAAATAACTTCTCTAACTCATCATGCTAAGAATATTTAAAGCAGACTAAGCACCATATCATAACATCCTAGCCTCAAAACTCGACCCAAAAGAACGAAGTATTTTTCACAACCTGCTCACTCACTCTAACACAAAGGCCAACGACAGTACCTTTCCTTTGCAAATTATGTGACTTCACACCAAAAATAGAAAGTAATTCCACATACAATAAAATTCAAGAACAAATAAGAGCTCGAGACAGAAATAATTCACTCACTCTCGGAAATAAGATTCATGTGCTATAGAAGACGTACCATAGGCTTGCCCATAGTGTAATACTCTACTAGGTTGAGCGCATTCAATCAAAGATCAAGTAGGACTTTATTTTGGTTGTAATGTAGGTTGTGAAATGGGTAGGATAAAATTTGGATAATAGTGACTACACCTCCCTGAGCACTTTAAAATATACAATTTCATAATTTAAAACCATACATTTGTGTTGTACCACTCCCAACCATCATAACATACTAGCCACAAGCTTCCAATTTTTTAAGAACAAACAAGATGAGACTACCGCTAGCAAGGAATCAATTTGTTTTCTTTATAATACATACACAAACTCTTTTTTTCCTTTTCAAAGTTCTCATTTTTTTCCTTCAAGCAAATTCACCTTTTTTCTTTCCATTCCTTACAAGAGGCTCTCCCAATTTTCAAACAGTGCACCGTTCTCCAAAATTCTAAGTTCCAACCAAATGCCTTCCCTATGTGCACTTAGCCTTTAACAAGCTCATAACAATTTCAAGTGCTCAAGAGAGGTAAAAGGTTCAAACAGATAGTCAATTCAAACAAAAAGGAGGTAGTTGCCATAGAAAGTAGGATTACAGTCTCAAAGAAGCTAACTAAGATACACATTAATTAGGTGGGTAGAAACATGTATTTAACTCAACAAAGAAATGTCTCTTTCACTTCCTATACTAAACAAGGCTGCTATTTCGCTTTGCAAACGCACTGGGCAAGTTCTAAACATCAACTGACATGCACAGAATATCACAAAAACCTCACACATACATTGGCACATAACTTACTTTGGATCAGATATATCCCGACTCTCTAGTCAATGCGGTTAAACAAAGTCGAGATCAAACAAACTAAGGCACTTATAGATGAGTCAAGAAATTAGTGATTCTAGGTTATGCTTAAAATTTCTAAATTCCACTATTAAAATTTATATTTTAATTTTAATAATCAACAGGTAATCCAGATAAAATCTCAAATCAATTTTTAGAACATTTACCCCTAACTTGTAGTCGAAATCCACAAAAATAAATTCCGGTACCCAACTCAAAATATCCAAAAAAGATGAATAAAAATAAAATCCCTAAAAATTCTTATCCTTATATACCTAGGAGGATAGGTGCAAGATAGTTATTCAAGATCTAGCTCTAGTTCAATTCACTTAATGTTTTAATTATTTTTATGAATACACTCGATGATCAGTTCAAACGTATAGCCAAAACTCCTCTCTCGATTAAATTTTAACTCTACGAGTTGAACTAATATAAAGCCCTGTAAAAAATATGCAAGAACTCGTTAATGGATTAGTCCTAAGGCAAACGTCTCTTGAATATTCTCCTAACTTGATTTAATCAACAATTCAACAAGCTCTTTGGATTGTTGAAAAAGCTGATCATGATAAGGACAAGCTTACACGAGATAAGCTTGATTAGATTGCATTGTAGAGTTTGTACTCAACCCAATATAATAGTCATACATGTAGTAGAACTCTAAGTCATTTGGTAGAAGTTATCCCTTAGCATACTTAGCCTAGTATTTCAATTGTTTTGTGACTTGTATAAATGCAGTCACTTGTGGCTTTGTAACCAATCTGAAAAATACGACTACTGAATACAACTCCTTCTCAGTCTTGTGATTTTCTATATGGTATTAGAGCTTTCTGAAGCTACGCTTCCCACACCAGAAACCAGATCAAACATGGCCATAACAACACCCTCAACCTATTTGTGTCTATCACCTACTTCACTTCTTCACCTCATTTCCTCCTGTCCAGTTAAGTTAAAACCATCGAACTATCTAATCTGGAGGACACAAATACTCCAGTTGATTCAGGTAATGAAGGTGACAAATCTGATCAACGAAGGCAAGCCAGACACAAGGAGTTCATCCACTTCTGCTAGTGCAGATAAGGCACTTGACAAAGGTGATGACAACACTGACTGGGAGTAAAAGGATGTGCTTCTGAGGAGTTGGATCTCTACTAAAATGGATGAGGAAAGCATGTACCTCATTGTGGGATGTTCAACTGCCAAACAAATGTAGGACAGGAAACCATGGATAACGAATTTCAGCTTAAGCAACAGCTACAGAATATCAAGCTAGAAACCAAAAGTCTTGATGAATATCTGAAGGAGTTCAATGGCATATATGATGGTCTTTCAGCCATACACAAGAATGTTGATGAAGATAGCAAAGTGATCAACTTTGCTAGAGGACTTGGTCCAAAGTACAAGACCTTTAGGACTATCAAGTTGGGAAAGGCTCCATATCCTACCTTGAACCAGTTTATCAATGCTCTTAAAGGATTTGACATGAGAGAATATAAAGATGAAATGACTCAAAAAGGCTACAATATGACTTTTGCTGCTCAAAGAGGAAGAGGTCGTGGGGGTTACTCTAACAAAAGAGGAAACTCAAACTTCTCCTCAAAAGGAAGAGGTATCAGATCTGCAGGACAAGGTAACAACCAGACTAATTAAGCTTCCCAGAACACTAGAAATTCAAGTCAACCAAAAAGCAAGGAAAACTGCCAAATATGTGGAAGGAAAAACCACACAGCCTCGAAATGCTTCTACTGGTGGTGCTATTCCTACCAGGCTACAAAAGACTTGCCACAGGCTTTTTCTATTGTTAACTTGTAGAATACACAGGCTGAGGATAAAATCATGTATGTTGACTCTGGTGCAAGCAGTCACATAACTAATTCAATAGGTAATCTGTCAAACCTTCAACCTTATATTGGTCCTGATAAGAAAATAGTTGGGAATGGATCAAAACATGACATCACACATATTGGTAATGCAACAAAATCAGGACTTAAAGTAAAGGAAATTCTTGTTCTCCCTAAGATTAAAAAGAAACTGATATAAATTAGTAAGCTTACTAAGGACAATTCTTCTATACTTGAGTTAGATGAATTTGATTTTGTTGTAAAGGAAAAGAGCTCAGGGAGAATTCTGGCCAAGGGATCTAAGAAGAATGACCTATATGCACTGGAGGACAATAACACATCAAAGGAGTGGAAGAATACAGACACTATTTGGCATGCTAGATAAGGACACCCTATTTTGAAGTCTTTAAAGATTCTTATTAGTAATAAGTGTATTGATGTCAAGTACTGGAATAAAGTACCTACTTTTTGTGATAGTTGTCAGCTAGGAAAAGGATGTAAGCTTCCATTTGAATTGAGAAATAAAATTAAAACGGAGCCTTTCGCTTAAAATTTATTGTGATCTTTGGGGTCCAGCACCTGTTGAATCATCTCAACATATGAAATACTATGTGGTGTTTGTATATAACTGTACAAGATATACCTGGTTCTATCCACTAAGAAGGAAATCTGAATTCTATGACATTTTTGTTAAGTTTCAAAAAATGGTCGAGAAACAGTTCACAACGGCTATTAAGATTTTTCAGTATGATGGAGGTGGTGAATTCAATGGTACTGCATTTTTTGAGCATCTAGATAATTGTGGGATTATTATACATATGTCATGTCCTCATACACTTGAGCGTAATGGAGTCTCTAAGAGGAAACACAGACATATAGTAGAAACTGGTCTGACTTTGATGTTTCATACAAAGTTACCACAGTTTCTTTGGGTAGAAACCTTCTTGATAGATGGATTCTTAATTAACAGAATGCCTTAATTAGTGTTACAAATGGTAACTGCATTCTTTAAGCTCTTTTAAGAGCATCTAGATTATAATAATCTACAGGTATTTGGATGCAGGTATTTTTCTTACTTGAAAGGAAAAATACAATTCTCCCCAAAGACATATCCTTATGTGTTTATTGGATACAATAGCCTTCTTAAAGGCTACAGGTGCTATCACCCGCCTACCAGGAGAGTGTTTGTCTCAAGACATGTGATCTTTGATGAAAACATATTGCCCTATGTGTAACCAGATGCACCACTAGACAGTTCAAGTGACTCTACTCACCTTGCTACCTTTTATGTGTTTTTCTCCAGGTTGCAGGATACCTCAAGCTCAGATGTGGACTCTTCTTATTTAGGAGAAGTGTTGACTGGACCACTATTAAGTGATCAAGGTGATCGGCCCACAGCTGATGTGAATGCACCACCACCAGTGTTGAATAGATCACCACCACGTGATCAACCCACATCTGATTCTCCTGCTGATGCACCCATTGATGCTCTTGCTGATTCTACAGGACCTACACCAACAACTGACCATCTTGTCGAATCTCCTTTAGCAGTAGTTCCTGCAACAACAGATGATCACATGATTGAAGCAACTCCCAGACTTCATTGGATCACTACTGATGCTCCTACTGAACCTCAATCCATTGGATCAAGTTAAGAATCAAACAGCTCAACTCAGGACAATGCACCGTCTGAATCTAATGTTTTTTCAGTTTATGATCCACGGTGAATTCAGCTTGAAGTTGACTTGTCTCATTGGTTCAACACTGAAACCAATCAGGATACACAAGCTATACCAACATAAGCATAACCTATTAATGATGCAGAACCAGAAGATCACACATCCAGTGAGACATATGTGTTTGGTAGCAACTAAGGAGTCACAGACAATAAATGAGGCACTTAGCTCACCAAAATGGCTTGCATTTATGCAAGAGGAAATAAATTCACTTCACCAAAATAAGGCCTGGACACTAGTGCCCAAGGCACCTGGTATGAACATAGTTGGCTCTAGGTGGGTACTCAAAACCAAGTTAAAGGCTAATGGATCCATCGACGGGTACAAGGCAAGACTAGTTGCCAAAGAGTATTCACCGCTTGAAGGAGTAGACTTTGAAGAAACCTCCAGTCCAGTTGTTAAAGTAACCACTATAAGAGTAGTTCTCTCAGTAGTTGTGTGTCACGACCCAAAATCTAACCATGGTCGTGATGGTGCCTATCGTGTTACAAGGCAAACCTATTTCCCAAAATATTACTACTAAATTGATTATAAGAATTTAATAAAACAATACCAACATTTGAATTTCTCATAAACTAAATCAACTCTAAATATAATATAGAAAATGCAGAAACGAGCCCCAAACATCGGGGTGTCACTAAGTCATGAGCATCTAAAACTATGAACTAAGATATATAAGTTGTCTAACTGTCCAAAAAAAATGAAAAGAGGAGTAACAAAGTCTTGCGGACGCTAACAGCTACCTTGCAGTTTCCAAAGATAGCCGGCCTGAATTTAATGATCGCCGCCTTCTAACTCACCTGGATCTGCACATAAAGTGCAGGGTGTAGTATGTGTACAATCGACTCAGTAGTAACAGAAATAACTAAGGAACTGAGCAGTAGTGACGAGCTAAGCAGAATAATCCAATTATTATTTCCACCATTAAGTACAAACAGGAGTAGACAGGTAATTTCATAAATCAGTAAGACTACAAGGAAAATTAACAGGTAAATGCAGCAACAATAAAAGTAAATGCAACCTCACAGCAATGTCACTCCATCACTCAACACTCACACTCAGCACTCAACGCTCAACACTTTGCGCTTACTGGGGTGTGTACAGACACCGGAGGGGCTCCCAAAGCCCAAGCGCTAAGCACGGACATCTCACGTGCCATCATATCAATACCTGGATCCGTACAGTCAACTCATGTGCTACGCGGACAACTCACGCACTATGGTATCAATACCCAGACCCGCACGGTCAACTCACGTGCTATGCGGATAACTCACGCGCTATGGTATTAATATCCTCACAACCAGTCCCTCGGCCTCACTCAATCATGTACCTCACTAGCCTCACCATCATCAACAAATAAGGGAACACAACCCACATCAAGTATCACAACATATTAGCAAATAATAGAGACTGGGGTAAGCATGTACAATAATTTCTATGACTGAGTACAAATAATGTGAGAATGAATAAGCATGATCTCTAACATGAAGGCAAACAAGTTCAACAACAAGTAACTATGTAAACACAGATGATGGAAATGAGACCTCACAGGACGGACCAATTCTCAATCCCTTGTGGTATACACCCACACGTCCGTCACCTAGCGTGGGTATCACCTTTAAATAGTCACACGATATCAAATTCTCTGGGTTTATACCCTCTTCTTGGGTATTGAGGTCACCTACTTTACTGGAGGCATTTATCTGAATCAGAGTAAGTATGCTGCAGAATTACTTGCCAAGACTAGCAAGGCACTTGCTAAACCAATATGCACACCTCTATCACATAAGTATGGTCTACAAGAAGTTGTGGATGATCCAATGGATGCTTTACTATACAGGAGTATTGTTGGCAGTCTGTGGTACTTAACTCTCATAAGGCCATACATAGCGCATGTAGTGAATTTGGAAACTCAATTCATGCAAAGTCCAAACAACACTTATTACCAAGCTGTAAAAAGGAACCTTAGATCTGTGAAGGGCACAATTGAGTTTGGTCTAATGATCTTCTCTTAGTCACCATTCAGGTTATATGATTTCTCTAATGCAGTTTGGGGAGGGTGTCCTATGACTAGAAGATCAACTACATGCTACAATATCTACCTAGGAGCTAACTACATATCTTGGAGATCCATGAAACAACACATAGTGGCAAGGTCTAGTGCAGAACCTAAGTATAGAGCACTAGCCTCGACAGCAGCTGAAATGACATAGATAACCTACATTCGCAATGACATTGGGGTTCGTTTAAAGACTGCACCAACATTATTCTGTGATAACTTGTGTGCACTATATATGACAGTCAATCTAGTAATGCATGCCAGAACAAAGCATGTTGAGATGGACTGCCATTTTGTTAGAGAAAAAGTTGCTAGTGGTTAGCTTGTCACAAGGTTTGTTAGATAAAAGGAACAGCTAGCAGACATCATACTAAGGCATTGACTAAGCAGATGATTGCAGGTTTTCGAAGCAAGCTGGGAGTGGTAAGTCCAGCCCTCACTAGCTTGAGGATAAGGACAAGCTTACACGAGATAAGGTTGATTAGATTGCATTGTAGAGTTTGTACTCAAACCAAAGTAATAGTCATACATGTAGTAGAACGCTAAGTCATTTGTAGAAATTATCCCTTAGCATACTTAGCCTAGTTTTTCGATTGTTTTGTGACTTCTATATATGTAATCACTTGTGGCTTTATAACCAGTGTGAGAACATAGGACTATTGAATAAAACTCTTTCTCAGTCTTGTGATTTTCTACATCGATTACTTAACAGAATCACTTAATTAAACCAAAAAATAAATGCAAAGATAATCACTAAAATATTCCTCTTTCGATTAAATAAGCAGGTGACTAAAGTTGCATTCAATTCAAAACTCCATAAATGAATTCATGCAAAGAACTAGAGTTAAAATCCACAAATATAAATTAAAACACCATATCCATCAAGCCCTAAGGTAAACTACTCCATAATCATGGAGAAAGTCATCACAAATAAAGTTGAATAATAAAAAAACATGAATTCAATCCAAACTCGGGTGTTGAGTTGAGGAAATAATGATGAATCCTTGTGATTTGAGTCTTTATTGCTCTTTCAATCTTCTGTAGGTCAAAAGTCCTCTAAAAATCATATTTTTGGTGTATTTATACAGTGTAGAAATGAGCTAGGATAAAACTATCCTTTCCAAGCCGAAGTGATAAACGTTGGAAACTATTTTGTACTAGCGCGCCAGCCTATGCGGTGCCCAATGCGCTGCGCACATGGGGTTTTTCAGAGAGCTGAAAATTTGACTCTCGAGGAATTTTGCACTAGCACTCCATGCCCCGCGGTGCACCCCGCAATGCGGTAGTGTATTCTTTCATTAATAATTATTTTTTCTCAATTTTTAATATCCAGACTTGTCCTCAAACCCCAAACACGATCCTGGCTTAATTCTTTGGGCTTCTACTCATACTTCAAAGCTCCAATTCATTCATTTTAGCCCTAAACTTACTTCTTAACTCGAAATCACATCCTACACAATATAACACACGTAATAAGTATAAAGTACTAACAATTGGCCTCAAATATAATCAAAGTGTAGTAATTAGAGTGCGAAATATAGTTAAAACGTGAGTTTCTAGCCTACCATCAACACACCACACTTAAATCATTGCTTATCATCGAGAAATCAAACTATACTTCATATAGAGCCGACCTTTTCATCAAATAACTTCTCTAACTCATCATTACAAGAATATTTAAAGTAGACTAAGCACCATATCATAACATCCTAGCCTCAAGACTCGACCCAAAAGCACCAAGTATTTTTTACAACCTGCTCACTCACTCTAACACAAAGGCCAATGACATTACCTTTCCTTTGCAAATCATGTGACTTCACACCAAAAATAGAAAGTAATTCCACACACAATAAAATTCAAGAACAAATAAGAGCTCGAGATAGAAATAATTCACTCACTCTAGGAAATAAGATTCATATGCCATAAAAGATGTATCATAGGCTTGTCCATAGTGTAATACTCTACTAGTTTGAGTGCAATCAATCAAAGATCAAGTAGGACTTTATTTTGGTTGTAATGTAGGCTGCAGGACAGATAAGGTACAATTTGGATAATAGTGACTACACCTCCCTGGGCACTTTAAAACATACAATTTCACATTTTAAAACCCCACATTTGTATTGTACCACTCCCAACCGTCATAACATACTAGCCAAAAGCTTCCAAATTCTTTAAGCACAAACAGGATGAGACTACCGCTAGCAAGGAATCAATTTGTTTTCTTTATAATACATACGCAAACTCTTTTTTTCTTTTTCAAAGTTCTGATTTTTTCCTTCAAGCAAATTCACTTTTTTTCTTTCAATTCCTTACAAGAGGCTCTCACAATTTTGAAACAGTGCACCTTTCTCCAAATTTCTAAGTTCCAACCAAATGCCAACCCTATGTCCACTTAGCCTTTAACAAGCTCATAATAATTTCAGGTGCTCAAGAGAGGTAAAAGGTTCAAACAGATAATCAATTCAAACAAAAAGGGGGTTGTTGCCAAAGAAAATAGGATTACAGTCTCAAAGGAACTAACTAAGATATACATTAATTAGGTGGGTAGAAATGTGTATTTAGCTTAACAAAACAATGCCTCTTTCACTTCCTAGACTGAACAAGGCTGCTATTTCGCTTTGCAAATGCATTTGGAAAGTTCTAAACATCAACTGACATGCACAGAATATCACAAAAACCTCACACACACATTGGCACATAACTCACATAGAATCAGATCTATCCCAACTCTCTAGTCAAAGTAGTTAAACAAAGTCGAGATCAAACAAATTAAGGCACTTATAGATGAGTCAAGAAATGAGCCTATGCGTCACAACTAAACCACTCACCACTATCAAGGCACAACAGAGTTAAGAATAGTTATCTCCATTTAACACCATCGCACAAAACTTCCCTATTCCTAACAAAAACACTAACTACTTCAAGCAAAACCCTTGGAAAAGAACCACGGCATAAAAAATCAAGGGAAAATTATTACACTACCTAAGAAAATAAAACAAAAATGAAAGACAAAAATTTGTTTTCTTCGGCTTTAAACCCTCATGAAGACAGTCGAGGAAATCCATCATCGAGAAAAGTCAACTTTTTTTTTCAAATAACGCTAGCGAGAGTACACACACAAATAAAAAGAGATACATATACATATTTAAATCCCCCACCACACACTTTAAATTATGTCATGTCACCATGACACATAAATAAAAAGCAAGAATAAAAAGCAAGAGGTAAAGGAAACTCCCCTGAATCATCTTGTCTGGGTCTGAATCGATATCGGGATCCACTTTGCACGCCTGACCCCGTGCCACATCTGTGCTGAAAATAAATTTCTGCCTTCTTCGGGTACACCCCACACTTGTCATGCTTACCCTTTCCAACTCTCTCTTTTAGGGCCCTTGCCTTGAATTAAGAGTATGCAGTCAGCTTTCTCTAAGTGCCCCTATTGCTTCCTCCATCTTGAAAACCACCCTTTCTTCCCCACTCTTAGCATGAGCTGCATTTTCTGAATGTCCAGAATAGCCCTACCAGTAGCCAAGAAGGGTCTCCCTAAAATCAGAGGGACCTCCATATTCACCACGATGAATTCCACAAGGAACACAAATTTATCCACCCCAACTAGCACATCTTCTACTATTTCTTCAAGCATGATTGTGGTTTGATCCGGCAGCTGCAAAGACACATGTATAGATCTGATTTATCCCATCTCTCCCTCCAATTTCCTGAAAATGGACAAAGTCATAAGATTAATAGAAGCACTTGAATCACACAAAGATTTTTCAAATTTAGTACTTCCTAAAGAGCAAGGTATAGTAAAACTCCCTGGATCTCCACACTTTTGAGGGAGTTTATTTTGCAAAATGGCACTACAATGCTCTGTGAGCTTGACAACCGATGTCTCTTCCACTTTATGCTTGTTTTACAATATCTCCCTCATGAACTTAGCACACGCTGGCATTTGAGAGAGTACCTCCCTGAAAGGTAGATTAACATGCACCTGCTTAAGCACTTCTAGAAAATGCCAAAATTGTTTGTCCAGCTTTTATCTTCTTTTCTTCTGAGGGAAAGGTAGAGCAGGTATATATTTGCTCTCCTCATTCTCCTCATTCATTGAATTTTCATCCTTCTTCTTTTTTAGAGCTCTAGTCCTCCCCTTCTTCTTCAGACCATCATCTGGATCAACCCTCACTTAACCTTCTTGATTGTTGCTATATTTCTGGTCCTCCACAATCTCTACTTGTCTTTATATCAACTCATCCTTTTGTTTTTCTATGGGGTCCTTAAATACTTGCCCACTTCTCAAGGACACCGCATTTATTGTTTCTTTTGGATTCCTTTCAGTATCAGCAGGAAAAGTTCCTGGAACCCTCTCAAACAATAGAATAGCAAGTTGCCCCACCTATCTTTCCATGTTTCAAATGGTTGTGCCCTGTTCTCGTATATCTATGCCATGAGTTTCAAGCCTCTCATTTGTCTTAATAATAAAGTTCGTCATCAAATCTTCCATGCTAGACTGATTAGATTGTGGAAGTTGGTATTGCTGCCTCTATTGATTTTTAAATCCTGGAGCTCCTTGTCCCTAGGGTCTCTGATTATTTTGTTGCCATGAGTTCAGACTACCTCTTAGTGAACTCCACGAAAAGCCCGGGTTCCTCATCCCCATGGAGTTAAAATTATTACCACTTTGATAGTTGCCTCTATCAAAGATTCCCACAGTATTTACCACTTCATCTATAGTCGAGGCCTGATACTCATGCGTTGGATGACCCATTCCACAAAAGTCACAAACTGATGATGGCTGGCTATGGACCTTGGCTAAGGTCAACTTTCTTATCTCTTTGGCCATGGTGTCTAGCTAGGCTTGCACAGATGTGTTAGAGTCTATTTGGTGAACCCCAGTTGATTTTCTTCTATCATTACTCCCAGCGGGCCACTGGTTAGCATCTTAAGAGAGATCATCAA